AGCTCGCCTGCAGCGAGGGCCTCCCAGCAGCGGCCCCCTGCCGCGCGCCAGGCCGCCGCGGCGGGCCGCGCGGCCGCGGCGGGGGCCGCGGAGCCGCGCGGGCCGCGCGGGCGGGGGCCCGCCGCCGCGCGGGCAGCGGGGAGCGCCGGCAGCGGGCCGCCGGCCCCCGAGGATCAGAGCGTGAATTACATACTCCAGATTTCGTAACAAAGGGAGGGGGGTCTCATGTCGGGGGGGGGTCTCTTCCAGGCTATCTTTGGAGGGCCTGGGGGGGTCTGGGGGCGATGTTTTGGAGGGTTCTCCCACGGGGGGGGGTCTGAAATGGCTTGTCTTGGAGGGTCCAGACCCCCTCCCTTTTATCACGAAATCTGGAGTACCCCGCTTTCGCTTCCAGGAAAAGCCAAGGCATACCACGCACCTCCTCGTCAAGCGGCCTGGCCAGTACAGGCCGCAGCTTGGCGTCGTTTGGTATCTCTTGGAAGCGAGGGTGGTCAAAAGCGAGGTAGGTCTGTTTTCCCCCCAGAGGAGGTCGTCGCCTGAGCTCGCGCCGCGGCGGGGGGCCGTGCGGCCTCCCCAGGGCCGGCGGCGCGGACGAGGGGGGGGTCCCTGGGCCCCTCCCCAGGCGCGATGGCGACGTAGAAAAAAAGAAAAAAAAATCAGGGCGCGGGGTTTCTGCCAGTGTTCGGCCTCGGGGGGCCTCGCGGGGCCTCGGGGCCGTCGAGGAACGATTCGGGACGAAAGACCGGTCCCAGGGAGAGAGTCGGGACTTCCAGGGACGCCGTCCCGAAAAAATCCGGATGTCGCGTGTCTGGGTCGAGGTCCCTCGACTCCCCCCCCCTGGTCTCCCCCCTCGAGGTCCTTGGATCCTCGAGGCCGAGGAGGCGGAGGAGGAGGAGGAGGAGGAGGAGCCCTCAGGGTCGTCTAAGAAGCTCCCTGCCTCGTAAAGGCAGTGCCCTGTCTTGCTTCTCAGACGGGTCAGACGGCCCCCCCTCCCACACACACCTCGCGCCGGCCCCTCGAGCGCGCACCGTCAGCAGGTAGCGTCCGAGTGCCACGACCCTGGCCCTTTCCAGACTCGGAAGGGTCGTGGCACCCCCTCGTGCGCGCCGTCAACAGGTGGCGTCCGAGTGCCGCGAACCTTTTCGAGCGATGAGAAAAATCCATGGCGCAAGGATGTCGGCAACTTTCGGCCTCCAGGGGCCCTGGCTTGGCCCTGCAGGACCGTCAAGAAACGGCTCCAGATGATGACAAGCGGCCTTTGGGAGGTGGTTTTGAAAAACGACGTAGTCGGGTGTCTGGGAAGTGGGGTCGGAGCAGCTGGCGTCAGAGGATCGCGCCGCATCGCGCATGCGACGGCGACGTGACGTTGTGTGGAGGCTGGTTCTGGCCGCGCCGGTGTCGCCGAGGTATCGGTGGCGTCGCCGACGCATCGGCGACGCGGCGAGCTAATCCGAGCCCATCTACTCTTAAGTCGGGCATGTCCCTCTACAGGAGGAGTATTCAAACATAGATAAAATAATCGCCAGGGGACGATGTTTCTATTACTGCTTATTTTTGTATATATATTTATATATATATATAGTGATATAACTAGTGTTATATATACAAATATGTATTTATGTATGATTATTTTGAAAGGATCTTTCAAAATACGCCTGTAGAATGATGTGCCCGAGCAAAATCTACTCGGACCCCACTTGGGAGGTCTCTGGTGGAGTGCTGGGCCTGGACACGGCCCCGCCGCGCGCGGTTCACCTGCGCGCGGGCGCGCGGACGCGCAGTGTGAAGGAGGCGGCTCTCCTTGAGGCCAGCGGGTCCTGAGGAAAAAGAGTCTTGGAGGATGTGCTTGGCTTTTTCGTAGTTGTGGGGCTCTCTGAGCCCTCCGCGGGCTCTGGGGCTGTTTGAGGGGAACGAGCAATGACATAACATAATAACTCGGAGGTCCGCGCGGATTTCTCGGAATCAGCGCTCGGCCCCGCCTGGCGGCGCCTCCGGCGCCGCCCCTGGCGCGCTCCGCGCGCCAGGAAGGGGGGGGTCCAGCGCCGATCCGAGGAGTCCGCACGGACCTCCGATTTTTGCAATGTTCATGTCATTCTTCGTTCCCCTGTTGGAGGACGTGCTAGTCTTTTTCGCAGTTTTGGGGTTCTCGGAGCCCTCCAGGGCTCCGGGGCTTTTCGAAAAACGACTCTCAGGACGGAGAGCTGGTCCCAGGGAAGAGGCCTTGGGGTCCAGGAGCTGTTTCCCACAGGACCCGTCTGCTCCATGTCGAGGTAGGTGCTCTCCTCCGTGCGGCATTTTGTCTGTCCGCCTGTCGCGTCGGCGGTTCGCTCCTTCTCTGCTCTTGCTGCGGGGGGGTGGCCGAAGAGAGCACGGCACAACCAATCGGAGACATTAGTTTGCCTCCTGGCGGTAACGGGCGTTGGGAGAGGAGGGGGCCAGTGACGTCGCGACTTGCTCTGGCGCCGTCTGGGAACGCTTAGGAAAGAGTCCGAGGCATTATCAGGCTCTACTTGGGCGCTAGTAGCGTGCGTTTATCTCGAATGATGAAACAGCCCATCCTTGCGCGCAGCATGGTGCCGCGGGGATGGTCCTGCAGATCCGATCGTCCGGGCGAGTCTGGGGTGGGCGGGTGGCTACGAGGTCGCGCGGTTGGAACTCGCGAGAAAAGATCGAGTTGAGGCGCCAGGCCAAATGTTCCATCTGTACCAGAAGGCAGAGGACTCCGCCCATGTCAATCCCATGAACACTGGGCGAGCCACATCGATTCGATTGGGGGCTTGAGTGTGTCTCTGACTTTCGCTGATGATTTACCCACTTCAAGGGAGGAAAGGCCACCCGCACCCGACAATTGGCGTTTACTGAACAGCCCTGTTTTTTGTTTAACAGCCCTGTCCTGTTTGATTCCTTCTTTGGGCCCGTTTACTAAACGACTTCGCGTGTCGGGGTGGTTATTATGGGGGTGTTTTTTTACTTTACCACAGTCTGCTGCAGTGTAGCGCGTGTTCCCTCCGAAGCCCCTTCATATCTGCCTCTCCGGTTCTGTCGTGCGTCTGCCTCCTGCGAGCGCCTCTCGGCCTTCGCGCATAACTCAGTGGTGCCCTCCGCCCCGCCGTCTCATTTGCGGGCTCCGGGTTCGAGGGTGGCAGTTGTTCGGCTGTCCACGGATGCGTCGTTCCCTCTTCCCCTCTCTATCCCCCCCCTATCCCCTCTCTCCCCCCCTTCCCCTCTCTCGCCCCCTCCCCCCCTCTCCCCCTCCCCCCTTCCCTCCCTCCCCCCCCCCCCTTTCCCGCTCGCTCACCCCCTTCCTGCCGGCGTTCCTCGAGCAGGTTGGGAGCCCGGCTGCGCAGAGCGTGCCGGAGACACGGAGCGCTTAAGACGGAGTGGGGTCGATTCTCGGGCCGGACGACAGGGGGGGATTGGGAAAGGGGGGGTTGCAAAATTTGCTGCATGCAGCTGGTTTCGGCCCCACCGAGGGGCCCATTCCTCGATACATAGTCGCCTCCGGCGCCGGGAGGCGCCGGGAAAATCAGCTACGTGAGCTGATTCTCAAACCCCCCCTATGCTATCCCCTCCTTTCGCCCGACCCGAGATTCGCAGCGCGCTGCCCAATTCAATTTTCTTCCCCCTGATCTATTCCTTCTTCCTTCAGGCAGTGGCGAAGCGTCCTGGCTCGCCTATAGCCCTACCAAACACTGTTCTATGAACCTTTCTGGTGGTTTCCACGAAATGTTGTTAGAGTCTGTTTTGTTTTATCACATCGTGCCTATGTTCTAAAACATTATTTTTGTTCTTAAGACGTTGTTCGGTTCTAAGAACAGTTCGTGGAAGGACTACAGGAATGCCGGGACGGTCGGTCCCTGCTCCATTCCTCACCTCGCGCTCTTCCGACCGACCTTCCCAATGTCCTTCCGTACTCTCTCCGATCCTTCAAGGGAGGAGAAACCATGCCGATCCCGACAACTGGCGCTTTCTGAACGTTCCTGGGCGTTTGCTACCCTGTTCGGTTTCTTCCTCTTGGTGCGTTTGCCAGACGGCTTCGCTTGTCGGGATGCTTATTATGGAGGTTGATGTTCTGCTCTCTATTCCTACCTGCCCACATTCCCCTTCTCCTCCTACCGTCCGCTGTGTCTCGTTCAATGTGTGGCATTCGCCTCCCCGCCGCGCACACTCGTTTCGTCAGTTTGCAGCATTCTCGCGGATGTAGCGCAGCCGTTCTCCGAATGTGGTGCTCGCCTCGGTGCAGCGCGGATTCGTTTCAAGAGTTCGCAAGAAATTTCAAGGATGGAGGGCTGCTCGTTTTCAAAGTGTTGTTCTCGCCTTCGCGCCGCGCGCATTCGTCTTGGGCGTTTACATCAGTTTCAAAAGTTCGCATGGCTGGAGTCTCAGGAACAGTGTCGTTGGCTCGATGTTGGATTGTCAGGACGCAGCGGTCACGTTGCGTCGCAGTGTTGGATTGCCAAGAATAGTGATCTGGCACGGTTAAGATCTGTCAGGACGCCACAGACACCTTGATTCACGGCGTTGAAATAGTCGCAGGCATGCTGTTCTGGCACGACGCAGGATTCTCAAACAGTTAACTCCCACTTGGGCTTTCCCAGTCGTGGGCATATGTTCATGTAGGGACATGCGAACAGGGAACTTGGAGGGACTGTTGATTGCAACATCGTTGATGCGTCCTGGGTCTACACTGGTCCTCCTCCTCATTCTCCTCGTCCTCCTCCTGCTTCCTCATGCACTCATGCATGCCTTGCTCCTCCCCCCTTTCCTCGTCGCTCTCCTCCTGCTCCTCCTCCCCCCTCCTCCTCCCCATCCTCGTCCCTTCCTCCCCTCCCCCCTTCCTCCTCCTCCGCCTCCTCCTCCTCTTCGCCCCCCCCCGCTCTTCGTCGCTCTCCTCCTCTTCCATCTCCGCTGCTCTCCCCTCCCCCGTCCCTCCTGTACTCCTCCCCTTCGCCCTCCTGCCCCTCCCCTCGCCCCTCCTCCTCGCCCCTCCTCCTCCCCAGGACGCGCCGCCGGCAGCGGCCCCGGCCGCGCCCGCGGCGGCGACGCCGCAGCCGTCACCGCCGCCGACTTGGCCTCAGCCGGGCCTCGCCGGGGGGGCGGCCGAGGTGTTGTATCGTCATTGTCGTCGTCGTCGTCCTCCCCCTCCTCCTCCTTCTGCCTATTGGTTCCTCTCCTTCCTCCTCCTCCCCTTTCTTCTCCTCCTCCTCCTCTTTGTTCCTCCCCCCCGCCTCCTCTTCCCCGCCCTCCCTCCCCGCTCCCTCCCCCTCCCCGTGTGACAGAAGAATGTATCGAACAACTATTCCCGCAAGTGTTGGGGTTGCAATCTGTTGTTGGAACCCGAGCATACAGCGAAGGGATCGCCCTTCGACCACGCTTGCAAGAGCCGCGTCGATATTGTCTGGAGGGTATGCAGAACAAAATAGAAGGACTCCACGATTGTTGGGAAATGCTTTGCGCACAGATGCCCAGACCCAGGCTGGAACAAAGATGTTGGTGATGAAGCGGAGGAGGAGGAGGAGGAAGCGGAGGAGAAGGAAGCGGAGGAGGAGGAAGAGGAAGAAAGGTGGAGGACCTGGATGATGGTGATGATGAAGAGGAAGCGGAGGAGGAGGAAGCGGAGGAAAAGGCGGCCCTCTCAGGATCCGGACCCGAGTGATCCTGTTGATCCGGTTAATCTGGATTTTCGTGTTGATTTTGTTGATCTTGTTGATCTTGGTGGTCTTGGTGATTTGGATGATCTGGCTGATCCAGTTGTGTGATTCATTGATCCGGTGATCCGGCGATCCTTACGCCAAACATTCTAGTCCGGATGATATCCAGGCTTCAGGATCCCCGTTCGTTCCGCACGGGCTCTAGAAACGATGGCCGCAAGACATTCTGGAATTCTTGGAGCGTGTCTTGAGCCAAATCGCATCATGGCGTTATTATGCGGTGACCACACCGTGTGCTGAGTCAGTGGGGATTCGGGGTGGCCGCACGGTGCTGTGACTCGGGCCGTTCTTCGAGGATGTCTCGGACGACCGGGGCCTTCGAGGTCCGCTTCGGAGGTCGCCACCTGGTCGTCCTGCCAAGGTCCGCCTCCACGGCGCTGCCTCCCCTGCCGCCCATGCCGCCGCCGCCGCCCGCGCAGCCCGCGGCGGCGCCGGGCGCGCAGCGGTCGACGTTCCCGACGGCCCATCCGGGAGGAGGGCAGTCAGGGCGTCCGAGCGAGACCTGCAAGCTGCTGAGTCGTAAGAGTTTCGGCCCTTGCCCGAGCTCTGCCATGGCGTCGTCGGAGGGCGCAGCGTGATGAGCGGCGCGCGCAGTGCTGCGCCGCTGCGGGGCTTGCCGCGAGCGCCTCTGCGAGGGGCTGCGGCTGTTGCGGCTGTGATCATGACGCCGAGAGCCGATGTGAGACCGATCAGGGGGTGCTCTGCTGTTCGGAGCATCTGGGCAGGGAGACGCAGGCGTCGGCTGCTCAGCCGAGCCGCGACTTGGCATCGCTCCCACGTGTGCATCTGTCCTGGCGGGGCCAGCGCCCGAAGGTCGGGGCCACGTAATTAGGAAGAGAAGCGCGAACACCGACACGTGCACGGGGAAGGGGCGTCCGAGCGATGGCAAGACGAGGTTCGAGGCTTCGGGGCGCAGCATGCCACGGGGGTCAGGGGGGATGGGCTCGGGATGGGAGCGACGCCTCGAGGCTCGTGGTTTGGGCAGTGGTCGGACGCTGGGGGCCCTCGCCGGGCCTCGGGGCCCTCAACAAAAACGACTCGGGATGAAAAGCTGGCCCTCGGGAAAGGGTCGGGACCTCGGGGACCGCGCCGCGCTCGGAAACGGGACCCTGCAGGGGCAACATTGGCAGGGTAGGTTCGAGGTTCGGGTTCTTCGGGTGTGTTCGCAGGGATCTCGGCGGCTGTCCAGTCTCGGGATGCGCTCCGGCAGCTGCGCCTCGCCGAAAGCGTTGCGAAGGTGGCCAGATCGTCCCGAACGCTCGCCGGAGCCGAGTCATGACCCGACAGCCAAGGAGCACCGTTGGGGGGAGATAGGCTCAGGGGGGGAGGCATCGACCTCCAATCATTGATATACTCGTCGCCGATTGGAGCCCATGGCCCACCCGTGCCCAGGAAGATGCGGTTGCGCCATCGGGGGCCTGCCGCCGATGTGTCGGCAGTGTATCGCCGATTCCAGGTCGATGCTCCCCCCCCTGAGCCAGTCTCACCCTACCGTTGCACCTCACGCACGTGACGGGTGTCAGCGTTCTCGAAGGTTTTCGTAGCACGGGGTGGTCTCAACCAGCTGCGCCGCGTTCCAGGATGCCGGAATCGTCCCGAACGGCCGCCTGATGAGGCCCGAGCTGTGGTCCAACAGCCGAAGGGAGGTCAGCGCTAACCCAGACATCCGACGCCTCGAACAGAAAAGGAGGCGGCTGACGTGTCGCCAGTGTGGCCCAGCTTCGGTCCTGGGAACAAGAAAAGCATGGGTCACTCTAGGTGATACCCAGGCTTCTCGAATGGGAACCACTGCATTGCAATGATGATTGCGATGGTGATCATGATGATGGTGAACATGATGACCATGTTGTGATAATGCTGAGTACGATGATGTTGATGATGATGTTGATGATGATGATGATGTTGCTGGTGATTTTGATGACGATAATGATGACGGTGATGATGGCGATGATGTCGACGACTGTGATGATGACGACGACGATTCTGTCTCTGCGAGAAAACATGATACTGTAACTGCTATCTCTGGCGGCCTTGGCAGCTCTGCACGGGAGCCACTGCGGCTCAGTTGAGCTTTCGTGCTCTGCTTACAGATCAGGGCCAGGACGCCTGCGGCATGAAACAAGCATGATGGCCCACCGAGTCGGCAGCCTACCAACAAAGGGGTCAGACAAGGGATCCGTCTCTCCACTTGCCTTGATTGCCTCCGAGCCGGCCTAGCTCGCCAGGCTACCCACGATTTTGCGCGCAGGCCTCCGCGGGCAACAGGCAGGATTACGGCCATGAGAGACAGCCACTTTCATCCCACGGGCATCGGCTGCGGCATCAGTCTAGCATGCTGCGCGGCCACCTCAGGAGAGCCAGATATGCAGCCCAATGCAAGACAGTTGAGGTCCTGCATCTGATGCCAAAGATACCGCTCCGACCCAAGCACAGCTGTCTCGAGAAAAGATCCGCACGTGAGGCCAAGTAAGAAGCGTGAGATCATAATCACGATGGCCACAGAGACAGACCAATGCGCCTTACCTTGTAATGCCTGCAACTAGCACGGATATGACTGCTCAGCCTCTGGGAAAGCTACGTCGTCGATTCAGTTGAGTTGTTGAAGGGCTTCCCAGGAACCCTTGAAACGATTTGCCTTCCCGCGTGGGACTTTCCCTTCGCAGTTGGACTTGAGGAAGTTGTTCGTCTGCTTGACCACGGACAGTGTCGACGTTCAGGACTTCGTGAGGAACGCCTTGGTCTCTGTTGATGATGATGATGATGACGATGATGCTGCTGCTGATGATTATGATGACGATCATGGTGGTAATGATGATGATTATGATGATGATGGCGATGGTGATAGTGATGGTGATGATGAGAATGAGAAGGAGGTGGCGTAAAAGGAACAGTAGCAGGAAGAGCAGGACGAGAAGGAGAAGTGGGCAGCTCAAAAAGTTAAGGTACAAACTGCAATATTTCGACGGCTATTGAACGCACCCGCCGCCTTCCCTTGTCACCCATACGCGATACGTGCATATGTTGCGCATGGTTTTGTTTAAGATCTTATAGACGTTCTGTTGTTCGTGCCAGTAGCGTAAGTATGCATGTTGTGTGTGTGCGCGGTGCTGATGCGTGCTGTTCGGCGTTTGGTGTCTGCCCTTGCTACTCTGCACCAGGGACGCGAGGCGGGTGGCCCGGGGATCGCCAGGATGCCTTGGGGCCAGGCGGTTGCCGTGTGGTGCTCGCAGGGCCGTTGTACGTCGACGACGCGAGGCGGGATACCAAGGGACCCACCGGGGCACCCGGGGGCCCGGCTGCCGCGGCTTGCAGGGCGGGCGAGGCGGGGCGGGAACAGGATTCCCTTCAGTGATGAGGTCTAGCCAGCAGCCCCAGCCTGCTGGGTGGGGAAAAGGCAGTGGAGACGCATGACAAGAAGCACCCTGCTTGACTCCAAGAGTGCCCTGGGTTTCTTGGGTTTCGATGGTTCTGCGACGGAGAGCGTGACGTTCCCGCGCCAAACATCAATGGACGTCCTGGGGTCTCAGGGTTGGGTTTCTTGGGGGAGGTTTCGTGTCGACGGGCCTCCACTGTAACACAAATATGTGCTTGTCGCAGCGACGCTGATCGCTCGCCGCGTCCGTAGCCGAAGCGGGGGTACTGCACAGGCTAAGGGGACCCAAACAGGCGGGGGACAGAAGCCTCAGAGGAGGGAGGCACCTGGAGGGACAACGAGTATCACAATGGCACGCCGGCGTTGGCAGCCTCTCAGCGTGCTTGTGCGTCGCTGTTGTCCCGGAAGTTTGGCGCTTCTCTTCTTCAGCAGTAATCCGTTGATGGGTTCCCCTTCCGCCGGGCAGCACAGCTTGCCCGGGACCAGCGTGGCCTTTACACATGTAGGTGCATGGTTTTCTCATACTGCGGCGGCGGGACTTCTCAGCCCTTGCGGAGCGTTCGCGCTCGAAGGGCGCCTCCCGAGGACAGGAAGTGGAGAGCCCGAGGTCGCGGTCTGCTGCATCGGCGGCGTGTCATTGCTCTCTTCCGGAAGAAAGCAACAAAAAATGGCCATCAGGCAGAGCCGCTTCGCTCAAGCGGGTCCCTCCCTCCCCTCTCGGGATTCCTCGCCGGGCCCTGCCGCTCTCCCAGGGCCGCTTTTCATGCTCATGGTGATCGGCATGGCCGTCTTCGATCTCCTCACTGACTTGGGGCCTCTGGCCTTTGGAAACCAAAAAGAACAGCCATCGGGCAAAACCGCCATCAGGCGAGGCGGTCCCTCTGGAGGCAAGAGAGGAGGAGGAGGAGGAGGAGGGAGGAGGAGGAGGAGGAGGAGGAGGAGGAGGAGGAGGAGGAGGAGGAGGAGGAGGAGGGAGGAGGAGGAGGAGGAGGAGGAGGAGGAGGAGGAGGCGGAGGCGGAGGAGGAGGAGGAGGAGGAGGGAGGAGGAGGAGGAGGAGGAGGGAGGAGGAGGAGGAGAAGGAGGAGGAGGAGGAGGAGGAGGAGGAGGGGGAGGAGGAGGAGGAGGAGGAGGAGGAGGAGGAGGAGGAGGAGGAGAGGAGAAGGAGGAGGAGGAGGAGAGGAGGAGGAGGAGGGGGAGGAGGAGGAGGAGGAGGAGGAGGAGGAGGAGGGAGGGAGGAGTGCCGTGGAGGAGGTCGGAGGTGCCTTCTCTGCTGTTATGGAGAGCGACCGGCAGCGGAGGCGAGCGCGCCGCCGCCGCAGCCGGCGTACCCCCCGCCCGCGGCGGCGCCGGCCCCGAGCCCGCCAGCCTGGCCTCCGGCGCCACGCTCGGCAACGGGGCCCTCCTCCCCCTCCTCCTCCTCCTCCTCCTCCTCCTCTCCTCCTCCTCCTCCTCCTCTCCTCTCCTCCTCCTCCTCCTCCTCCTCCTCCTCCTCCTCCTCCTCCTCCTCCTATCATCATCATCCTTCTCCTCCTCCTCCTCCTCCTCCTTCTTCCTCCTGTCTCTCCATCCATCCTCCTGTCTCCTCCTCCTCCTCCCTCCTCCTCCTCCTCCTCCTCCTCCTCCTCCTCCTCCTCCTCCTCCCCCTCTTCTGTCTCCTCCTCCCCAGACGCTCTGGACCAGAATACGGGCGAGATGGAGTTTGCCCGCGAGCCGTGGTTTCTTCTTTACACATTGCAGTGCTCCAGAATGCCAGTAGAGGGTTGATGACGGCTGCGGTCAACATTGATCTCCAGCGATGTCGAGCATGTTGTGATTTCGTTCGGGGTCCTAGACTTTCTGATCAAAATCGTGGAGTTAGTTTGTCTAGCTCGTCAGTACTCGTCACACCCTGAGGCGTCGACGAACAGACCACTGATATTGTCCCTGGACGTTGCCCTGCCGATCCCTAGTCTACACCAAATGTTCATGCTCCGCGCATGTCGTGTTATTCGTGACCCTCAGGCCCTCGTCTCTTTCATCAGCCTCCAGTATGCCGCCATTGAGGGTGTCATGCTTGTCGCGAGTATCATGGTGTACACGTTCTGGATCACGTCTGAGATTGTGCAAAGGGTTTGTTTTGTCGAGGTCGCTGATTGCGCTTGCTGTCTCGCCTTTTCTCAAGGACCTCGAGGCGTGCATCGAGCGGCTTGGGCTAACTAGATACTGTCCCGGCCTGCGTGGATGGTCTTGGTGTTCCCGTCGAGTCTGCCATGGCACTGAGTCGCATGGCCCACGTGACGAAGGTTGTGGCCAAGATCGCCCCGTTGTGTTTGAACCCAGCAACATGTAAGATGTGCATGTTGTTCTGTCCCGTTGTTCCCCGCCTACACGGCGGGGGTGGCTATGTCCATCAAGGTTTCCTTCCAGGCGCATATTCCTCAGTGGAGCGAGTTTGACGTCGTTGCTGAGCTGGTGTAGTTAGTCCTCAAAATGGGCCCCGGCCTTACTCCAGAGCGGTTTTGGGATTCCCCTCTAGACAAATGTCGTTCACGCTCGCGTGTGGTAGGTCAAGGAACCCTTGCCATGAGTGAACCCACCGTCCTTTATTCAGGCTGTCTTCTCCCTGTCTTTAGCTAAGTTGCTCAACTTGTTCCTTTCCCTCCTATCGTTCTTCGTCGCTAGCAAGCGGTGCTCGCTAGCACGCTTCGTTTTCCTTAAGGGACTGGAGGCCGTCGACATGGAGACTTGGACTCGCTTGGAAATATGGGGTCCTTCGCCGGGGTTGCGTTCTCACGTGGATCATCGGGGAGACGACATACCGCTGCATATACTCTGGAGTCGGGCGTTTGCGCCATCGTATTGGCAATCACGGGGATCTGCGGAATACTTTGACCGCGTTCTTCATCCTGTCAATGCCGCCACCAACTACCACATCGAACTTGTGCTTGCCGCTGCTGCTGCTTCTGTGTATCTTCCTCCCTCCGCCCCGCCTTCCTCCCGGCCTCGTTGGCAACGCTGGGCCATGGACGCGCTCCGACGCGCGCGACCTGGCGAGTTGATCCCCGCTCTCTGCACCCGTCGCGTCTGGAAGCGGCGGCTGGCCAGAGCGGCAGAGATCGCCACTGCAGCGCGAGGTGCCACTGCAGCGTCTCGCGGATGGCCCTCCTGCTTGGGCCCGGCCCAGCTTCCGCCTCCTCTCCGGCGCTCGGCTGGCGCACGCCACGCCACGCGGCAGCAGAGCCTGCACTCGGGGGCGCGCCCCGGCTCTCAGAGCACTGCTGAGCGTGGCCGCAGCTGTGCTCCGTGCCGGGCTCTCTCGCCCGTCCTCGGTCGTGGCCTCGCCCCTCTCTGCGTGCTCGCGCGCGGGGGTGTTCCGGCAACGACGGTCCACGTCGTCGAAGAGGTCGCCATCGCATTTTAATAAGCCTATCACGGGCACCGCTTTTGTGGCGCACCCCCAGCTCTCGTCCTGATCTCCGCTCGGCAGCAGTCTTGGCGGCGCTGCCCTCCGTTCGTATGCACTCGCCACTTTCGCCTGCCGAGTCCGCTGGCCGCCTCGCTCTTCTGCTGCGCTCGGCTCCTCCTCCTCCTCCTCCTCCTCGTCCTCGTCCTCCTCCACCTCTCTCCTCCTCTCTCCTTCTCCTCCTCCTCGTCCTCTTCGTCCTCCTCCTCCTCCTCCTCCTCTTCCCACTCTCTCCTCCTGTCTCCTCCTCCTGCTCCTCCTCCTCGTCACCCTTCGATAACGCAATTGCTCTTGATCGTAGACATACTCACTACACTGCCTATGAGAATGCCCCCTCTCCTGGTATGGCTTCCTGTGAGATCAGACAGGCGTTTCCTAGTATTTCACATGACTGGACTATGTATGTTCTGACGGAGATGGGGATTCCTGGGTGATACTGCAGCATCGTGAAAAAACTTGTACGACAACATGTACATGCACGTTCGTTGCAAGGGTCGTATCTTTGGCAAGCAGGGCTGTCCGTTGTCTGGCCTTCTATCCGCCATTGGCCTGGATCCGTGGTTCAGGAAATACTGCAAGCCTTAGCTGATGTTCGTGTTCACCCTTGTGCGTATGCCGACGACCTGGGCACCGCCGCTTTAAATCTTGGCCGCGCGCACCAGCGAATGGCGCATCACTTCGTTCTGCTCGCCAGCTGCACGGGCCTCTTTTTTGCTGCCAGCTCGTTTGACCACGCGATCGTGCAGACTCCGGTTTCCGACAGGCATGCCGGGTGAATCAGATCAGGATTGGGGCGTCCAACATCGGTCGCTTCGGGACGCACTTTGGTGTCATCTTGGGTCTTGCTGGCCAACATATCAGCCGGGTCGGCCCTTGCAGGGCGTTGGGCCCGTTGTGTGAAACGTCCTTGTTTCGATCTTGAAAGAAATACCCACATGCACAACGTCTACTGTCAACCTGTTCCACAACATACTGCTCAGTTGTATCCTATTAGTCAGCATGTGGTATATTCCGAACGAGAAGCCCTTCAACGGTGGCCAGCTGCACCCGGATATCATTTGACGAGTGCCTTGTTATATGATTTGAGGAGCTACGGGATCTCATGCCAGGCGAGATCGGTGGCCCAGCATGCCCGTGCTGCCCAGTTTCGTGCTGCACTTCAGTCCGATGAGTTTGCCCGTGCTCGTACGTGTCTAGAAGAATTCCGAAATCATGATAATTGTGAGCTGTTCTACATGAGATCCCCGACGTACTCATGATCTACCTTCATCCACATGTTACGCAACTTCGAGTCTCTGATCAACATCCCTTCCATTCCCACGGCGCTACGTAACGGCTTCCAAGCTAAGATTGTGAACGCTCTGCTCTCCCTTCCTATGAACGGCCATTCAGTGCTCGATTAAATTACTGGTGCCCCGCGACCCCCAGCAATGTGAGATCTCCAGGTGTAGTTTAGCCAAGATCGGGGACAAGCTCGGTCCTTCTATTGCCAGCTCGGTTTGACAACTCTGTGTAATGCGTGGGCCACTTGCCGTCGGTTCCGTATGGGGCGCCAGCGGTGTGGGTTTGGTTGCTACGCTGTAGATGGAGATGATATTGCACACTGTATTTTATTGCCACGCATGTTGCCCTGTGCCCGTGAGTGTCTTCCTGGCCTGCCCGATGACTGCGGCGATGGCACCATCACCTCTCTTGTCCTGTCCTTCTTCTCCCTCGTCGAGGCTGACAGCTTGCTCGATGTTGCCCTAGTGGTCGATGCCTTTCTAGCCTCATGAAATTCCCAGAGACCTGAAGGCTCTGTGGGCACTCGATCAGCCAGGCTTCCATTCAATGGAAGCCTGGCCGATCGAGTGCCCACAGAGCCTGGGGTAAGCCATCAAGACAACATGCGGACAATCCTGGGGTAAGCCAAACAAAAAAAAGGCCAGGCTTCCATTCAAGGTCAGGCTTCGGGCACGAGCCATCCGCAGTGCGACCGCCCGAGGTCTGGTGCATGTTGTGCGAGGCGTGGGTGGACGGGCCGGATGATCTGCCCTCTTCTCGTCTCGTGCTCTTGGCCGCCTGTTTTCGTCTTTTTCTCAAGCCTGGCAGCGCCTCCTCCCCATCACCCGTCTTCTTCTCCACCTCCTCCCCTTCCTCATCCTCCTCCCCGGTTCCGCCGCCTTTTATTCGCCGTCGATGAAATGTTAAGCCTTCCGGTAAGTCGTCAGGACCTGAAGGCATTATTCGTGAATCACCGACACCCGCACGATCTGACATGCCCTTATCTTCACCAGGTGCCCCGCTGCGAGCCGATAATTTGTCCTTCATTTCTTCAGCGGTGGTGTCTGACGGCTTAACCAATTCAACCATTCCACCGACATTAAAACATACCACCGCCAGAGTTGCAAGAATATGGCCACGCTCGCGGGAATTCTCTTTAGTCTGCAGACGGTACGGCGTGCAACCATTTCGCGACGGCGAAATGCAAAGT